AGGACATTTTCACAGAAATGGTGCGATGCTATAATTCACCCCATTCATAAGTCAGGCAATGTGCAAGATCCTAAAAACTATCACGGAATTGCCTTGCTATCAGCGTTAAGTAAAGTTTTCACAAAAATTCTGAATGTTAGATTGACGAAATGGTGTGAAATGAATGATTTATTTTTGGAAGCAAAGGGAGGGTATATAATTATAATTATAATTTTATTTATTTGACCATAAGGCAAAAAGCCTATAGTTCACTAATATAGTTCATAGTTTACAATATAATTATGTACAATATTCGATGTTTTATAATTAAACAAATAAAAATATATATATAAATCATTAAGTTAGTAGGTGAACTAATAAACGAATGTATCATATTTAAACTGCAATACCATATTTGTTTAAAGCTGTATTTTCAAAATAATTAAAGTAAGAATAATTGTAACCCTTAGACACTCAACATTTCATTTCTTATGCCCATTGCTCTTTTTATATAAATAGCCAGGTTATACACAGTCAATTGATTTTCGGAACGAAATAACTGATGTAAATTTGTATCAGTTGGATGATTACAGTAATATGAGGGAATAAAATTACGTCTTAGATCAGATAACATTGGACATATCAAAATAAAATGTAATTCATTTTCAATAGCTTTATAATTACATAATTTGCATAATCTGTTTTGTCTTAATATACCATGCCGACGACCATTTTCAATCTCAAGAATATGCGTTGAACATCTTAGGTTTGCTAAACTAAACCGTAACGACTGACACATGGAGCTATATAAATAAGGCTCACAATATATACTTGGTTTTATTTTACAATATAATTCACATTTTGGGGATTCGGACATGTAACCATGCCAATCCTTGTGTGCGCATGCGTGGAAAATGGTGGACGTGTTTCAAGTAGCTCTCTGAAAATTTTCTTTTTTTCTTGTCTTACTGCCGTAAAAAATTGATTATTTACGATTGTTTATGATCAGTTGGTGAGGGCTTTCTTCGCTAAGCTGTATCATTTACTTTCAACCAAAAATACAAGCGTGCAGTTACCATACAAGAAGATAGTGGTTTGTTGACATTAGTTACGACGCCATTTTGGCTTTGCCGTCACGGAAAATTTTGATGCGTTGGATGAATTAGGCTACTACAATCCAGTACCAGACCATCAGATTGTTATTTACAATAACATCAACACATAACTACAACAGATTGATAATAAAATTTCCACAAGATCCATCATCATCATCAGTTTGGAAACAGAGGAAAAAGAGGTAAAAATTGGCAGAATCTAGCCCAATTGATTAAGGTCAGTTACAAATTTTCTAGACATAAGCATGGCCACCTGCCTAATCAATGATGATACCAACCTGGCTACTCCGAACCAAGACAACAGACCCAAGCGTAAGAAACTAAACACCCCCAACTCTAAGTCTGACAGCGAAAGTGACTCAAATGATCCACAACTTTGTGTAATGTGTGAAGTAAACTTTGATGGAAGTGACTGTAAATGTATCATTTGCGATATGTGTGATCTATCCTTCTGTCTGCCATGTTCCAAAATCCAAAGAGAACTTTATGATTGCATAATGAATGATTCCACTAACTCTGTCAAGGTCTGCAGTAAAAATTTTCCAAGGTTCTGTGAGATGAGCAGTAACTTGCGCAAAATTGAAAATGACAACAAAGAGAAATTGAGATTCATTGAAGAAAAGATAGATAGAGTAGAACAGAGTGTACCCCAGTTGATAAGTTCAGAAGTTAAGAAATTGAGAGAGAAAGTCACATCTGACCTGAATCAGGATATTGATTCACGTGTAACAATTCTTGTCCAGCAGCAGATGGAAGAAAAAGATGAGCAAAGGAGAAGGGAGAACAATATGATGGTATTCAACATTCCAGAATCAAATGCTAACAATCCTGAATACAGGAAACTATATGATACTGAAAAACTGACTGAATTTTTATCTGTTATAGGTTTAAAAGATATCAAATTGACAACAGTTATTAGAGTCGGAAAACCAGCTACAAACCACACTAGACCAATCAAAGTCATTCTAAACAGCTCAAAAGAACGAAGAGAAATCTTCAATGGCTATCGTAATAGAAGGGACATCTTAAGTAAACACAGATTGTACAACAATGTGACACTGGCAAGGGACTATACTCCTAAGCAGTGTGATGACTATAAGAAACTAAGAAGTGAATTAACTAGAAGACTCGAAACTGGAGAAAATGTCATGATCAGAGGCGGAAAGATTGTGTATGCAAACTTACGTGAGGCGCGATCTGCAAGACCCACAGAAGAAGTACAGAATCCCATACAACTTCCAAAGCGTATCATACCAACTCCATCCTTGAGTTATCCCCCTACAACAAGCACACCACTGGCTACCAGAAGTAAAAATAAACATCCCATTATGCAGGAGAGAAAGAGACTGATTTCTTACAGTGGGGACCTTAATAATGATTCAGTAAATACAGATGAAGAGACTATGATATACAGTGAAAGCTATATTATGGATGAAGTCTACCAAAAATGAGAAACTAGTTTTATTCAGCACACACATGTACATAACACAGATACCGACGAGCTTAAAATTGTATATACCAATGTCGACAGCCTTTTAAACAAACGATTGGAACTAGATGTATCGATTAATGAAACAGAAGCCGATGTCATTGCCTTAACTGAAGTCCTGCCAAAGTTTAACAAAGGGGAATTGGATGAAGTCGAATTCAAACTAGACAACTATGATGTACATTACAACAGATTAACTCATGGCAGAGGAGTTCTACTGTACACAAAGACCAAACTGAAAGCGGATAGGGTAGATGACTTTGACAATACAGAGTTTGAAGAAATGGTATGGTGCAAGATCAGCGTAGCCAACGACGACCCTCTGGTAATTGGATGCCTCTATAGAAGTCCCCACAGCAGCCCAGAAAACTCCTCAAAGCTAAACACATTAATAACTGACGCCTGTGATAAATATAATAATTTACTATTACTGGGAGATTTTAAGTATCGAGACATCAACTGGTCTGATGAATCCACATCCTGTCAACCCAGATCCACTACCTACAAGTTTTTAAAATGTATACAAGACAATTTCCTCTACCAACATATTACCGAACCTACCAGAATCAGAAACAACGAAAGACCCCCAATTCTTGATCTAGTTTTATCCAAGAATGAAGATGATATCCACAATGTAGTAAGCCACCCTCCTCTAGGTAAAAGTGACCACATGGTGTTTATTTTTGACATGAAGACTAAAGCATCAATAGACAACCCTTCCCACACTAGATAATCAAATGAGACTTACTACAGGTAAAATCAACTGGAATGAAATGATGAACCTAACAACAACATGCGAAAAATGGACCTACTTCAAAAACATCTTTGATTCCTTGATCACACAGTATGTACTAAAAACCCGAAATCTACCCAACAGAAAAAGTAACAAGCTATGGTTTAGCAGAGATGTTATAAACGCCCTTAAAATCAAAAGAAAGACATGGAACAAATACTGTAGAAACAAAACCACTACCAATTACGAGAATTATAGAATTGCCAGGAACAAAGCCTCTGCTATTCAGATCAAATCCCGACATAAATTTGAAAGAGAAATAGCCTCGGATATACGACACAACCCAGAGAATTTCTGGAGATATGTAAACTCTAAGACCAAAACTCGTAACCAAATCGTATCTATTACTACAGAAAGTGGCGAGACACTTACCGATGATATGAACAAGGCAACAGAACTAAATTCTTTCTTCACCAGTGTATTCACAGTCGAAGACACCAATAGACCAACTGCTTATCAAACCAACGACAATGGACCCAAACTAAATGATGTTACCGTAACTAAGGAACAGGTATCTGCTAAACTCGAAAAACTAAAGATCACCAAATCTGCTGGTCCGGACGGAATACACCCTAAAGTCCTTAAAGAGCTCAGCTGTGAACTTGGAACACCACTAGAAATCATTTTCAACAGCTCACTACAAGAAGGTTTACTTCCTGATCAATGGAAAGAAGGAAACATAACCCCTATCTTTGAAAAAAGGCGATAAAAAATTTGCATCAAATTACAGACCAATTAGCCTCACCAGTTTGATTGTCAAGACTTTGGAATCGATAGTAAAGGACAAACTTATGGAACATCTAGAGAACAACAATCTTCTTTGTGATGAACAGTATGGTTTTAGAAGAGGCCGATCTACTACAACACATTTACTAGAATTCCTAGACTATTTAACTGATGCCATGGACAAACAAACACCTACAGACGTGATATATTTAGACTTTTCTAAAGCTTTCGACAAAGTACCACACCAACGATTATTGATGAAACTACAGAAGATAGGTATAGGAGGAAACCTCATTAAATGGATTGAAAACTTCCTGAGCAATAGAAAACAACGTCTAGTTTTAAACAACGTAGCATCTACCTGGTCAAGTGTTGAAAGTGGAGTACCACAAGGTAGTGTCCTTGGTCAGGTATTTTTTCTCATCTTTATCAACGACATCCCCAGTGCTGTTAGATCCTTTGTGAAACTGTTTGCTGACGATACCAAACTATTTGGCCCTAGTCTGACAATACACGATAGAGAGCAATTACAAGATGATTTAGACAATTTGGTTGAATGGACAGAAACCTGGCAAATGCAATTTAACATCGACAAATGCAAATCAATCCATTTTGGATATAATAATTCAAGACACCAATACCACATGAAAAACAATACCATATTTGAACCACTACATCAAGACAGTACAGAAAAGGACCTTGGTATCACAATAGACAACACTCTTAAATTCAGTGAACATGTATCTCATTGTGTAAAGAAAGCTAACAGGTTAATAGGACTGACAAGAAGAACCTTCATTAACATGGACAAAGATATGTTTTTGCCCCTGTACAAAAGCCTAATCAGACCACATCTGGAATATGATGCAACAGTTTGGTGCCCAATGTTAAAAAAAGACAGCCTATCTGTTGAAAATGTCCAACGAAGAGCGAAAAAGATACTTCCCCACTTTAGAGATCTTACCTACCCTGAAAGACTGAAAGCTCTAGGTTTACCCACTCTTAAATACAGAAGAAAACGCGCTGATGTTATCCAGATATACAGATTTTTAAACAACATAGATACACTGGTAGACAAAAACATGTTCTCGATATCAACCTACAGTAACACCAGAGGTCATAATCTTAAACTGAACAAGCCACACACAAGATTGGATGTCGGTATAGCATATTTTTAATTGATGTACACCAATTTTTTCTACCATTTAAATCTTGTATATATAACATTTCATATGACAGTTTGGGTAGCCTGTGGTCGTCCATACATTTCAATTTGAGAAAATATTTAATAGGATTGCACATATAATTTATTTTTAATTCGAGTCTACCACATTCTTCTCTAGCAATAGCATTTGTTGTCTTATTACCCGTACATAAAAGCCATTTACAAAATTTGTTATGTACAATTTCAATATCTTTACATACTTCAGTACCCCATATTTCAGAACCGTAATACAGTATAGAACCTACCATAGAGTCGAATAATTTAAATGCAATTTTTGCATTTCGTTGTTTTAGTTTACAAAGACAGTGTTTTATGACATTTAAAGCTTTAGTGGCTTGCTGTGATAGTGTTTTACAGCAAAGTGACCAATTTAGTCTACTGGTGAACATAATTCCAAGATATTTATAACAATTTACTGTTTCAATAATACACCCACGATAGTACCATTTTTCTTTCTTAGATAAGATTCCACCCTTTTTAAAAACTACCACTTTTGATTTATCTAGATTTACTGACATGTTCCATTTGTCACAATATGTCTCAAGGACATTTAATCGTTTTTGAAGGTCACCAATTGTATCTGCAGTAATTGTAAGGTCGTCAGCAAACAAAAGTAGGAATATGTCATCAATGGACTGGTCAATAAATATACCACTACCGCCGTCTTCTTTCAACATGGTTGCTAGTTCATTGATATACATACCAAATAGCCAAGGGCTCAATATACAACCCTGTCTTACACAGTTGGATCGAACTGTGGCCTTAACACAATCATATATGCTTGTGAGTAACTTAAAGATTGGACCGTTTAAACCATTCTGAATTAATATATATAATAGCTTATGTCTATTTACACAATCAAAAGCTTTAGAAAAATCGATAAATGCACAATAAAGTACTCCCCCTTTTGACTTTGAAATATACTTCTGCACCATGGCGTTCAGGATAAACATATTATCTATTGCCGAATAACCCCTCCTGAACCCAGCCTGTTCCTCTATTAGCAATGCATTTTGCTCTGACCACAAGACAAGTCTTTCATTGATAATAGAAGCCAGGATTTTACTAATAACATCTTCCAATGAAATACCCCGATAGTTTTGGGGGAGATTCCTATCACCCTTCTTAAATAAAGGTATAATTATACTCGTAGACCAACTGCTGGGAAACTGTCCAGTTTGGAGGATAGCATTAAATAATTTATGAAGAATGGGTAGGAACTGGGTAATAGCAGATTTATAAAATTCAATGGGGATTTTGTCTGTGCCCGCTGCCTTACCATTTTTCATTTTGCTTATTGCTGTTTTGATTTCATCTTCTGATATATCCATATTTAAATGATCATTATCCATTTCACATTGGTTTATATAGTTTGCATTTAAAATATTACGAACGTGTTCATCAAAAGTATTATCGTTATTTGTAAAATTTGGATTTAGTAAAGCTTTAGTAAAGTAATTATACCACTCATCATTACTTATAGTTAGAGTATCGTTAACATTCCCCTTCAATACATTCTTAACTTTTGACCAGAATTGTGATGAGTTTTTACTTTCACTTAAACAAAGATCGTCAAGAGTACGTTTTTCGTAAAGTTTCTTCTTTGCTTCACACTTTTTCTTGAAATCAGCTTTAAGAGCAAGATAATCCTGCAATGAACTATGGTCTCCAGTCGAACGGAATCTGTTTAGTAGAGAACATTTTGCACGTTTGGCCTTCCGTAATTCTACATCAAACCAATTAGGTTGGATGTTATGTTTCGTTTGATTCCGAA